AATGGAGATGGTCCTCAAGTATGCAAAGGAAGGCATTGGCTACACAACTGAAACATAGTTCGACGAATTGCGAAATTGCATACCATCATATTTCGATGTGCGCATTGATCGCGACATGACATTGGCACAGCATGCTCATGACATCTCTCATGCGCTTGTTTTTTTGGAGAAACTAAGCAATGAGAATTTGAAAACTGAGGTTGTTCGAACAGACTTGGAGGAGAACATTGTATGTTACAAGTTTGATGACCTGGTCGATTGGTTGTACGAGCAGGTCGAAATAGACAAGTCAAAATCACGGACGTCGGGAGTGTATGATAAACGCACTTGGAAGGGGGATAGAAAAGGATATTTTATACCTGGTCGTCGTGACGTTCTGAGACCCGGATTAGAAAAGTTGCTTGCTCTACTACACTTGCGAAGTATTGTAGAGAAAGAGGACGTGCAACTTGTGTGCGAGTTGCCACGTGTGATTGCAAATGGTGGTGAGCACGTGATGCTGTCGCAGTGGACAAATTTGTGTCCATCATCCAGTCGTGCCCACATATCTTTTAGTTATTTGGCTAGTATTGTTGAGATATTAGAAGGAGCCGAAGAGTTATTGGAATACAATGCGATTGAATCTTCAGAGCCACAACCTATAGCGGACAAGGCTATTGTGAAGTCCTTGGAAGCTCTTGCAAACTCTGAATCGAATGAAGTACCACAAATTGTAAGAGAGTGTTGGGATGTTATGGTTGCAGAATGCAGCGCAAGGGATGAAACATTGAAGTTGACATTCAACGAAGGATCAGGCAACACGGTCGTGGTAAACAGCGGAAGGACAACCCCTCTAACATGTATGGATTTTGCTTGGGATTACAAATATCAAGGTCCAAAGGCAATGGGATTTGGTGAAAGTGAGGATGAGGCAGAGAGTTGTGATGATGAAATGGACGACGATGACGATAACGACAATCTGCGAAAATTTTAGGACAATCACGCGGACGGTTCATGTGGTCCGCAAAAAGGATGGTGTCTCGCTGTTCTCCGTCTCGCGTTGACATTTGAAGAATGTCCTTCAACAATTTTGATTTGTTGTACGGACATCACAACAGACGGACACTTACAGTATGATTTTTTGTCGAGACTTTCTTATTTGCATCCAAAAGGCAAAGATATTTCGAAAGGTGGAAAAAATTGGCAAGTGTTAGTCAGTAGAGAATTGGCGATAGCTGCATCAGAGAGTTTTGACGGCGTGGCAGGTTTTCTCACAAAGGTAGGGATAGATCTTTGTCATGGTCAGAAAGAGAGAATGGAGAGTGATGACATCGTCTCGTGGATGCAGATTACGAATCCTGTGGCGAGGGAAGGTTTGGCGGGTCAGGAAAAAGAGAGCGGCGGACCTGTGAAGGGTAAAAGAAAGGCAAGTAGTGCTTGTGAGGAGGATTGAAGCGAGCATTCTTCCGTTGAAAATTTTTCATTTTTAAGCAGGGTTGTGTTTCGTATATAATCCAATATATGAACGACTTGTTTATGGTTTTTCAATTTCGAAATAGAAGAATTTTCATGCAAATCCAAAAATATTTTTTATGAATGAATTGCTTAAAAAATATTGTGAATGCGTCCTCTTATCTTAGTTGTGAAGAATAAATGATCGTCGTTCATGAATAAAGTAAACAATTAATATATGACGGTCAATTTCATATTTGTTGCATCAATGATGCAGTTGTATTACAGAAAGATAACCGTGATGTATTCTTGACCATATGATACGTAAATGTCGAGGCACAGCAGGAATGTTGTCCCGTGCTACGATTGCGGCCGCATATTCAGTCGTACGAGCTTAATGGAGTCGCATAGATCGAGGGGGTGCTTAGCTGAGATACAACGTACTGAAACTACTGGTGATGCTAACGACATGAGTTCAGAGAACAAACAAAATGATAATGGCGTGAATATGGACATGCACGAGAATGTCGAACAAAATATTGATGATATTGCAGAAGAGGCAAACAACATAGACGAAAATTAATATCCATCGGATTATCGACTCGCTGCAGTGATATGTTCTGCGAGAGGAGGGTTGGGATTGTCAGATGCAAATGTGAATGCCTTCCTCTCCGTTATATGTCACCCTTTTTTCGATGCTAGCCGACTACCATATAGAAATTCTCGTACGTTGAAGGGTTGATTACGTGGAAAGCATGCAGACAAATCTTGGGAGCACATTGATATGAGGACAGATGATTGGCCGGCAGAAGCGAAGGCTTGGACGCACTGATGAACGACACTAACTTTACGCTAGAGGCAGACTCAACATGTCATGAAGAAAACATGGTGTTCACGAATGCGAAATCGGCACAGTTTTGGAAACAAGCACAAAACATAGTTCAAAATGACAAAGGATTAGATCGAAATGGACGCGTAAGATATGTTCTGCCATTTATTTTGTATTCCGACAAAACGAATGTAGATGATCGCATGAAAACAAGCATGTATCCTCTGATGTTGTCACTCGCTGATAAGCCAGAACGAGCAACTTTGCTCGCATACTTGCCAATTCTTTAGACTTTGCCGTACACACGAGGTTGGACCCATAGTTCATCTGCATTTGTTCGTCGCAAAAGGTGTGTATTCCATGAGAGTCTGACTATTGTATTGAAGGATGCAAAAAAGGTCTCTCATGACGGTATGGAACTTAACCTCCCGCGATACGGGGAAGTTACAGTACATCCGTTGCTGTTGAACTATGTGCAAGATCATCCAGAGAGATGTCATCTGGCACTTGTAAAGAACGGCAGATGTCCAAATTGCATTGTACCGAGCAAGAACTTACACGAATATATGGACTGCAGCACGATTGTACGGACTGAAAACGTGGATCGCGATATATTGCAGGGAGTACATGATGGTTCTGATGCTGACGCTCGTGCAGCAGCGATGAAGAAAGTGCTGGACTGGGGGATGCATAGTGACGATGTAATGAATGGTTTGTGGGGTTTTTATCAAGGTCGTTGCGGTGACATTCTGATGTTAGATTAGCATTACGCACCACAACCAGACCGAATGCACACAGTAGATCACGGTATTTTTGAATACATTGTTGAAGCTTTAAAGAATATATGCAAATCATTTCAGAACACCGTTGGAATGCTTGGAGAGCTGGATGCTCGTTTAAAGTGCGTAAGCAATCGAGGGAATGTCACGTTTCAAAAGCTTATATTGCCGGTAACAACGGGGGTAGACTATTTTACACGAGAGGGACGATTTGAAGCTAAGCAAAATCGTGTCGTGATGACCGTCTTGTTGTTCATTGTGCACAACTTCCTGGACAATGTAGAGGGATATGACTTTGTGAAGTGGTGTGACATGTTTATCGAATACTACATAAGCATGTTTCTCGTTGTTAAACACACGAAGCATTCCTTAGATAGATGTGATGCTCTGCTCGAAGACTTTATGACTTATACAAATATGCGTTTCAGACATCTGCAGAAGTCGAATTGGAATATAGTAAAAATGCATGATTTGAATAAATTCATAATGGCTGTAGAACGATCAGGGTTCCCGAACACTTTTGCAGCAGGCATTTGGAAACACATTCCCATTCGTTTTTGCAAAGATCCTTATAAAGCATCAAATCGAAGAGATCCTTTAAAGCAAATGGTGGACCACGTTGTACGAGCAGATATTTTAGAAGAACATGTATCCGTTGTGAGAAGGAAGAGAAACAGAGAGGAAGAAAATTGGTCAACGGTCTTGGAGGCAGAGAGAACAGGTCGTAATGTAATTGCCACAACCGACATGGCCGTATTGAGATTGGGATGGTTTGCTCTGAGCGATGACGATATCATTCGTCGCATAAGGCCAACGTCACCAGAAGCTGCTCGCTTACTGCTAAACCTTCCACAACGACTTCAATTTCAACAATGTGTGCGTTCATACGTGATGGAGCAAAACCTCGGTGAAGTTCACGACCACACTGTCATACGTCCCCGACCGCATGTCGCACTTGCTTGCACACACAATGACTTTATTCAAGGAGCAGATGCACGAATCGCTAGAGCGACAAACTCGTTTCATAGTCGTGAGGTACGGAGTGATGTGAGTGTAAATGGTCTCGATAACGACATTTGGTACGGTTCTGTGACCATGTTTTTTGTGCTTGAAACCACAAAAGGAGGACAAATGTTTAAGACGGAATGTGCATTTATTCAATGGTACAAAAACTGCACGAGGAACTTCACAAATCGAACGTCATGTAAATTGGTGGAATGGGAGAAAAACAGAGGCGTGCAAATGAGTAGCATCACCAATATAGACACAATAATTCAACCAGAACATCTTGTATCATACTTCAAGCGAGCGGTGTTTAGAAATGATGTTATTCTGTTGGCTTATACGTTTTTATTATAAAATGCATCATATTCTACAGGTGTAACTATTGTACGATAATGGCGTCGTTGCTTGAACGAGGTACAAATAGCGAAAGAAATGAGGAGGGAGCAGAAAATTTTCTACACAAGACACCACGCCGAAGGATAAGGGTAACCAGTGAGCCGAAAACTGGAGATGGTGCAAGTGAACCGCAAACATGCAAAAGTAATGAGAACAATCCCGGAGAAAATAAAGGAGTTGCACGATCGGGAACGTGGAAAGGGAAAGGAAACAGAACGGTTCGCAAACACACGACCTCCAATCGCGGTCAAGTATTGAAAAAACAAGGAATGTCAAAAAGCAAAGTTCAATGCTGTGTAGAGAAAGCATCGACGTCGAGAACTCAAAAATCGAAACGTGTCAGGAATTTCACGGCAGCCAAGAAGATGGTACCGAAGTTCAAGAAGACATTGACGGACGAGACAATACAAAGGATGTACCACAGACCTTTGCTGTCATTATCGTTAACTGCCTGGAATATCATACCGTTGCCTATTGCTACCATTTCTCATTCACCAACAAAACACAATCGAGGGATGTTAGAAAGTGAATGTGAGAAAGAGACATTGCGAGATATGCGGCATGAAAAAAGATTAGCAACACACGATAAACAATTGGAAAGATTGAGAGAGAAAGTGAAAGGGACAGAAGAGAGAGAGGGATGAGCGGCGGGGAAAGAAGTTATTGAAGAGGTGAATGTAGGAGAAGATGCCATGAAGTCTGTATTCTCACACATCTGCAAGAACACAAATTAAAAGAATACAAACGACGGAAGAGTGTCTGTAACACGTGAAAATCTCACTAGCACAGAGAAGTTCATGCACACAGTCAGAAAAGATGCAACACAGAATGATGAAGCAGTGCCGAGGTTAGAGTCATCTGCAATTGACAAGATCGGAGGAGACTGTGAAGTGAGAGTCAGCACAACAAGTCAACATATGATAACAGGAGAGCAAAATAAGGCAAAGACGAACCTCGATAGAGTAGAAACAAATGAACAGCTGACGTTGCCGGCTTCGAATCTTCCGGGAGGCTCGGCTGACATTGCTGTAGATGACAAGTCAACAGTTGAGAACATGGAGATATTGTCAGAACACGAAGGAAAGACATCAGGGGGAAGTAACCCAGAGAGACCGCAAGAGTGTGAAGGTCATATGATAACAGAAGAGCGAAATGAGGCAAAAACGAACCTCAATGGAGTGAAAACAAATGAACAGCCGATGTTGATGGTGGAATGTGAACTGCGTATGAGAATTGAAGTCGACCATGGAGAGACAGATTGTGCAAGACTTGCTCTACAACCGGCTTCGAATCTTCCGGGAGGCTCGACTGACATTGTTGTGGAGGACAAGACAACAGTTGAGAAGATGGAGATATTGCCAGAACACGAAGGAAAGATATCAGGGGGAAGTAACCCAGAGAGGCCGCAAGAGTTTGAAGGTTATATGATAACAAAAGAGCGAAATGAGGCAAAGACGAACCTGGATGGAGTGAAAACAAATGATTAACCGACGTTGATGGTGAAATGTGAAATGCGTACGAGAATTGAAGTCGATCATGGTGAGACAGATTGCGCAAGACTTGCTCTACAACCGACTTCGAATCTTCTGGGAGACTCGGATGATATTGCTATGGAGGACAAGACAACAGTTGAGAAGATGGAGATATTGCCAGAACACGAAGGAAAGACATCAGGGGAAAATAACCCAGAGAGGCCGCAAGAGAAAGATGAAGGAACCGGAGCTATAGTGTATTTGGATGCAGACACAGAGGAGGGCGAGGAAACACAATCTATGGACCAGAAGTTGGTGGCAGCAACTGTTGATATAGTTCACGAATTTTTTCCATTCACATGGAACCCCCTGAACAATGAATCATTCACATTAAGAGTACAAGATCTCCAATGTCTACGAGCGGGCAAGTAGTTGACGACAAATATCGTTGACTTTTACTGCCATTACGTATATGACTCACTCACACGTAAGGCTGTTGACCTCTCACACGTTAAATTGTTGCCTGCTTTATGGTACAACGAAATCTAGAAGCTCCACAAGGACGCGAGTTTGAGCAGCCCTCCTGATTTGGAGACGGTAACACGAAGTTCAAAGTTGAAGGCAAAAAGCATGAGGAGTTTGTGGGAAAATCAAGTAGTTATTGTTCCTCTGCTATGCAACAACCATTTTACTATTCTCGTGCTGAACAACATCCATATCTCGACCAACCAAGAGGCTGCGCCATTTTCCACCTAAACTCCAAGAAACGATTGGGCAATCCTCCGTTTGAACCTTTGTTAGCCTATTTATTTTACGAGCACATGCCGTTACGGTATTCAGCTGATGTTGAAGTTACGACCGCGAACATTGAATCGACATGGAAAGCATTGATGCAAGGTGTATCTTTCATCAACGAGATTGATTGCCAGCAACAACGGAACTCAAACGACTGAAGTGTATTCGCCACGAGGAATGTTGAGAGCATTCTTATGTGCATCGCAAACGACGAAGACTTCGAGTTCACGAAAAACACAATGACGAAGGTTTGCGAACGTTTGTCGTCAAGAAAGCCTTGTGAAGAACGACACATAATGATCAAGGCTTTGGCGGAGTCATACCCCCCGGCATGCGGAACACAGACAACAAATGACAAGTACACTATTTTCAAGAAGTTTGCATCAAGCAGGAGGAAGGCATCGACAAAATGATAAAGCACGCACTGAAAGAGGTGAGCTAAAATATGGACGTGATGCGACTCGTAAATTTCGTTAGTTGAAATATAGAACAAGTACGCAAATGATGATAAAGACAAGACAAGGTAGGTGAAATTTTTAACATAAGTCCACAAATTTATCATTCCATATGTAATGTGAAAATACGTGTTTTTTGTTCACGAAAAGCAGGGTCGAGATAAAGCCCCGCTGCTGAGATTAAATTTAACTAATGACAAATTTTTCATGTCCTATGTTACGTGTCTTCTTCCTCTTCACAGAAACGGCGAGCAATATAGACGAAGTACTTGCCACCAATGGACAAACACACATTACGGCCTCGCCGAGGGTCTGATGTTACAAGGACATCGACGCAACGAAGGCTCTGCGTTCGCAAAGAAGGGGTGTCACGACAACAGACGAATGTCGGTGCACGTCTCGTACAGGAACGAAACAAAGTTCGAGATATAACACGATATGGAACATCTGAAGAAGTGAAGAGTGTACGAACAAGAACGGAGCGTTAGAGGACAAATTTGGTCGAAATGCACCGCGAAACGAGCAAACGAAAATTGCAGATGGAAAAAACAGAGAAGCGAGATAACGACATTGACATCCGACGCAGGGAAGAGTCTTCAAAGTGTACTCCGAAGTCGAAGACAGTACGCAGAAAAACGCTGGCCGGAGCAACCTCTCTTGCTCCAAGTAAGTATGTCATGGAAAAGAAATGGGAGCACAACAAGGGTGAAGCGACTGTTGTGGACAATGCAGAAGTAGGAGGGAGCGGTGAGGATTTCTGGTCGGCAGGCGGGCGAGAGCAGTGGAGGTAAACACATTGGAGGTCGCGACATTCAGCACAGGCGATGGCATGCGGAACGAGAATGTCGACAACCATCATTGACAGAGTACGAAGACGAGCAGCTGGAGCAAAAAGAAGCAAATACGAAAAAGGACGATTCAGAGGACGAGAACAACAGAGACAACGACGATTTTGGTGAACGTGAATCGAATGAAGACGAGGATGATGATAATGAATACGTTCGTGAACAGGATGACGAGAACGACGCACACTTCACAAACGAGAAAGCAATAGGTAAAACATTGTGTGAAATCCTGTAAAGTTGTTTGTGGCGTTAAAAAAATATGGAAGAAAAGGACAACAACATTGAAAACGATTCTCTTGTTTGCATTCTCGCTTATGATTTGCACGTGCTTAATGAACATATAAAAGTGACAAGCATAATAATTGGGTTTTCCGTTTTTGTGTTTTGTTTTGTCTCTGTGTGCTCGTCCTCTGTGTTTGTGCAGTTATGCGAGGACGCAAAAAACGGGATGCGTCGAAGAAAAGCAAGCCGAACAACTGCATTAGTGACAACATCCACACGTTATACGCGCACTCCAAAATAGTGAAGCAATTGATGCGTTGCGTAGCGAAAGGCTTTTATTTATCCCGAGCCAAGGATGCAGAGATGTATCCGCTTGTCGACACGTATCTCGAATCCTTCAGGGTTCTCATCGAATCTCTGAACCCGGACACTCGATTTATCGTAGATCAGTCGATGAAGAGTACAACACCGACAAGGGAGCTGACGAACATCAGAGGAGAGATCGCTTACGACATTGTCCGGGCTTTTAGGAGCGTCGCGGGGCTGCCTTATCCATGCGGAACTATAAGGGATCGTTTTGAAAAGGAGCGAGAGGAGATGAGGACAAAAATGCTCGAACAATCATCGTGGAGAGTGAAAGGCGAAGAGCCGTGGGGCGCAACAGAGTTTAAGAATGTTGTGCGAGACGTTTTATACATAGATTGGAATGAAGCAGGTCGAAATGGTTGCAGTCTCCAACAACTCGCATTCGCTCATATGGTGTTAGAGTGTCACATCATCAACAAAAGTCGACCCGCACGCACGGCAGCAGCGAGCAAGGAAATGCAAAGAATATAAGAAGTCATCGTGTCAACTTGCAATATCGGTATCGGAAAAGTGACTATAAATGTGATCTCTCTCGATCGTGATAAAACCGTAGTGAAGAGTTCAAGGAATATATGGGAATGACATTTTGCTGGCAGAAAGAATGCAAAAGATGAGGTCGTTCAAATGAAGAATGATCATAGATTTTTCGAAATTTTTGCAGGTAGTGACGAGGTGATTGCTGAGGAGAGGTCTTAGGACGTTTGTGATATTAGTATTTTGTCATTTCCGTATAATACTTTGATTTCGCATCCAGCAAGGTGGTGGTGAAGACGTCGTGAGAGTTGAATATGATATTGAGGACTATTGATTGATTGATTGAGAGAGAGAGAGAGAGAGAGAGAGAGAGAGATGTCATGACGTCAGTGAGATTTGTACTTTGTTCGTTTTGTACAGTACTGGGACTTCGTGTACGGCGAGATAAATGTCAAGAGGTCATTCCAGTTGAATATGATATCGTCAACTATTTAGACTCGGAGACAGAGAGAGAGGTATGTAGAAAGAGGCAGGAAACAAACAAAGGAGACATAATCGGTGTGATGTGTGTTTGGTACGACGACATGATTTTACAGACATGTATTACAAGTGTGTTGTGTATTGCTATGCTAGTTGGGGTGAATGAACAACAAAGAAGACTATGGAATGTCTCAAGCACTGTGCAATTTGTTTTTTTTTGTTGTTTTTTTTTAAGTGGACAAAACACATTCGGGGTCATGTTTAAAGTGCCTCAGTGTGGATTGAATGTAACAGGTACAATGAGAAGTGTGTGTCGTATTTGTATTTTGCCAAAGAAAATATTGATAATTGGGATATTTGCATCGGTTAAGAGGTTTTCACGACCAAAGAAAGTACATAACCCTATAAACACCAATTCCTCTTGTGATATAACGAAACATGGATATCGTGAAACACACACATACACACAGAGAGAGAGAGAGAGAGAGAGAGAGAGAGAAGGAGGACAAAGTTTACGATCATCCGCTTTAAGTGTCGCGACGGATCTTATATTGATTGTCACACTGAAAGTTCCAACTATTTTTAAACGATATATTTTTTTTTCACTACGATATCTTAATGTTGCTAAGACATTGCAATGAGTTAGGCAACTAATTCCCAAACGTGTGCGTATACGAGGGATACAGTATAACCACAAATGACTTAACAGCGAATCGAACGTTGGAAAATGTTTGTCATATTGATTTGAAAGTCCGCAGCGAAGTGATGAACGTTTCTTGTGTTGAAGTAACGTTGAACACATGTCTGTTTATTAGAAAACTGTTGTTACTCAATACAGTCAACTAATTTTCAACACAAGGATGTATAAAAACATAACTGGGAAGACCTGGATTTTTTTCTGTTGGGAGGGAGGAGGAAAGACTATGGCGGGAGGGAGGAGGGAGGCGGGAAGGAGGAGGGAGGACTATGGCGGGAGGTAGGAGGGAGAGGTGTCGCGTCAAAGGAGGGAGGAGGGAAGGCGGATGACTCGGAGGAGGAAGAGAAGCGAGAGAGGCGATCTGGAGGGAGGGAGGATGGAGGACTATGACAGGAGGGAGGGGGAGAATATGGCGGGAGGGAGGACTATGGCAAGAGGGAGGTGGGAGGTGATCTGGCAGGAGGGAGGACCATGGTGAGTGAGCGCGAGGATGCCACGCCAGAGTGAGGTGATCTGGCGGGAGGGAGCAAGGACGCCACGTCAAAGATTAATAAGACACGAACTCTGAAGAAGAAGGAGAATAAAAAAAAAAAAAGAAGAAAGGAGAAGAAGACGACGAAGAAGAAAAAACGAAGAAGAAGAAAAAGAAGAAACGAAAAAAAAAAAAAAAAACCGAAAAGGTGGAAGACGAAGAAGTTTGAAACGAAGATCGAGCCTTCGTGGGGACGGCGAGCGACAGTCTTCGAGGAAGGCAGGATGACGACGACGAGGCGGCCGCAGGTCGATGACGATGACGGCCTCAGGTCGACGACGATGGCGGCAGCAGGACGACGCCGACAGCAACGCCGACTAGCGCATGGCGGAGGGCTGGAGGGCTGAGGGCGGAGAGCGGAGGGTATGGTGCACAGGGTGAGAAGCGGACCGACCCAAGATTCGAATTCGAATCCTGGGGGCTACGCGCGCCGCCGATTACCGATGATCGATGGCCTAGATCAAAAAAAAAAAAACTTCTCAAAAGGAGCCTACAAGGCCCCAAAAAATAGTGTGCTGCCAGCCAGATTTTTTTTTGGCCTGTGGGCCCTCGGGCGGCGGCGCGAAAAAAAATTTTAATGACCGTTTTGGGCCCGGGTGCCTGGCCGGGGGGGTTGACGGCCGAGCGCCCTGAGCGCCATTCCGGGTCATCTCGGGTGGCCCGGGCGCTCGGGTGGAAAAGCTAGATTATTATTAATATTTTTGCTTGCTTTTTAGTTATGCTCTTTGGGTTTTGTTCGCAAAATTTTCTCAGGATAATTATATAATTATATTTTTGAATATCATTCTCTAAAAAATTTTATTCATTTTCATATCCTCCTACTAGATCAATTTTTTAACCAGTAACTTCATCCTTGCAAAACATGCGTTCTACCACTTAAACTATGGGCCAGACGGAGCGGAGGAAATGGGACTTGAACCCATGATACAATCTTGTTGTATGTTGATTTAGCAAACCAATGCCTCAAGCACCTGAGACCAGCCCCACCCCATGTGGGAAGGTAAGCTTCTCCATCTCTTTCCGTACACACATGCACACATACACAAAAAGAAAAAAATTGATTCCCACTGTTACTGTCTACCATCCCACAAAAACATCTCCAAGGGGATAAACTTGTAAGAATCGGTCGGAAAAGAAAATGTCATCCAGCTCCGTCCAATGGCAGGGGGCATGCGTTTGAATGTTAGGCGCGACTCTCTCTCCTTATTTTTCTTCCTCCTCTTCGTCCCACTGTTACTATCTACCATCCCGCAAAATCATATCTAAGGGAACGAACTTGGAAGAATCGGTCGGAAAAGAAGAAGTCGCTGAGCCAATCGCAGGGGACACGCGTTTGAATGTTTGGTGTGCCTCCCTCCCCCTTTTCTTCTTCCTCCTCATCTTTTTCTTCTTCTTCCTCTTCCTCCTCTTTTTCTTCCTCTCCTTCTTAGGATCTTGTTGTTTGGGGCACGCGTTTGAGTGTTGACATCTATTTTTTTCTTCTTCTTCCTCCTCAACTTTTTCTTCCTCTTTCTCCTCTTCTTTTTCCTCTTCTACTTCTTAGGAGCTCCTTGTTTGAGGCACGC